AAAATAGCACTCAAAATCTGCACAGGAAATGGGGCAAAGGGGTCACGGGAAAGCAGTCAGGGAGAAGAAACGAAAAGACAACCAGCCCATAGCATTGACTCACAAAGAAGAAATCAATGAGACACAAGAAGACGCCAAAGAGACACAAGAAGAGGAAGAGACAACCTAAAGGGGGAATGAATCTAATAAATCTTCAATTTATGAGCTTAAGGCACTCTACTAGATATTAATGAGCTGACATCTAATAGAGGATAATAAAGCTCACCAAAAATAAAATCCAACTTGTTTTGAAACCCCCCCCCCCCAACCTTGCCTACATCAATTATCCTCCGGTTGAAAATGCACATCTCCTGATGAAGTGGCTTTAGATTTGATCCGAGGAGACGAAGGAAGTGCATCTAGCTCTTAAATCTTTTCCGCATAATTCTTCAGGATTTCATCTCGCTCTTGCTTGAAATGTTCTTGTAGACGCTTCCTTTTCTTTAAATAATTTTCCGTACTCATATGCAAACACGACTGAAGTTTGTATATCTCATTATGCAGGGGATCTGTCGAACTTCCTTCCGTTGGAACCCATCTATCCATTGGAATTTGGACTTCACGATCTTCTGGCTGATTTTCTTCCACCACTGGTTCAATATTTTTGGTTTTTCCCATTTTTCCAAACACTTAAAAGAAACACGAAAAAAAAAACTAGGAAGACAAACAACCTAATGCTCTGATACCAAATTGATGCAAGCAAAAATTAGGAGAAAACCTAATTTTTGCAAGCAAAAAGCAAGACACTTCTTAGGATAAGACAACACAAAAAATACTAAAAAATACACCTTTTATATCATAAAAAGACACTTACAACAAAAGACGCTTACAACAAAAGATGCTTACAAACTTTTGACATAAAAACCTAAACTTGCATTCCTTGAGAAGAAAGATACAGGTGGAGTCGGACTTGAGGATAGAAGAAGTAGATTAGGAGTCGAGACGAAACAGGAATAACTCGCAAGTTATCCTAGAGGAGAAGAGAAGCACGGAACAAGCTCGCAAGCTTTTCCAAATAAGGAAGAAAAACCCTCAGGTTTTTAGTTCCAAAAATATCATCATAACATTCTTTTTATTTGCCAATACATCCAATATATATAGGGGAAAGGAGGGCAGCCAAACAGCCACCAAAATCTCTCTTTAAACCTAATCAAGAAAAGTGAAATGAAAGGCCAAAAGACACCACAAACAGCCCCAAAAAACTGCATAGAAAACAGGGCAAAACAGCACCCAAAATCTGCACAGGAAACAGATTGGAGAAGCCATGGGACAGCCAGGAAAGCCACGGGAAGCACATCCAATTAAGGGGAAGAGAAAAGCCAAAAGACACCACAAACAGCCCCCAAAAAATTGCATAGAAAACAGGGGAAAACAGCACCCAAAATCTGCACAGGAAACGGGGCAGAGGGGTCACGGGAAAGCAGCAAGGGAGAAGAAACGAAAAGACAACCAGCCCATAGCATTGACTCACAAAGAAGAAATCAAGGAGACACAATAAGAAACCAAAGAGACACAAGAAGAGGAAGAGACAAGCTAAAGGGGGAATGAATCTAATAAATCTTCAATTTATGAGCTTAAGATACTCTACTAGATATTAATGAGCTGACATCAAGTAGAGGATATTAAAGCTCACCAAAAATAAAATCCAACTTATTTTGACCCCCCCTGCCTACATCAGATCTTGGAGCTTATGCTCTAAAAACATTGTCATTCTTTACATATAATTCAATGTAACATCCTTGCATACAATAAAGATTTGCCAAAAAAGATTATAAAAGGAAGATGAATAATAATAAGTGTTGTTAGACTCGATTGCTCGTATACGCATTACTTCTTGTTGTGATCAGTTAGTGATGTTGTGATGCTTGCGCATGTGGAGGTTTCCCCTACGCATAATCAAACAAACCCCAGAGATAAAAAAAATTTTCAGATCATTAGCATGCCATAGTCAGAGGAGGATTTTTCCTTTGGACGTTTGCAAATTATAGGCAGCCTTCCCCTAGGTTGTCTTTGATAACGTATAGGCCTTCTCAATTGACTGAAAATTTTCCCATGTCAAAATGTCTTCGGTGGTTCAGGTTTTCCAGTTTTTCAAAGTATGGGTCATACATCTCGACTTTGTGTAGCGGCACGGTGGGATGTGGAATTCCTTGTCACTTCAAAAAGGTTCAAGACAATGACCAGTCCGTTATTGTTTCTAAGGATCCAATACAGTACCTTTTCTACAGTAAGAGACAAAGTCTCTTGAGTTATTTTCATAGGGTGGTAAATGTCAAAAGGGGCTACCACTTCGCAGCCAAATGCCAAAGAGAAATGTGATTCCCCAATAGTCGTGGTTAGTGTTGTCCTATAAGCCCAAGAAATGGATGGCAGCTCAACTATCCAATTGCCTTGGTATTCACTCACCCTCTTTTTGAGCAAATTAATAATAAGCTAATTTGCAGCCTCTACTTGTCCGTTTTTTTTTTTTTACTTGTCCGTTGATTTGTCCATGGTGGACAGATAAGAATTTGAAATTTACCTTATTATGGGCACAAAAAATAGTGAGCTTTTTGCCAGTGAAATGCAGTATATTGTCGGTGAGGATGGCTTAGAGCAAGCCCAATCGCGTGAAAATTTCTAAACAAAGAAAATTGACCAAAGCTTTGAATGTTGGGTGTTGTACTAAAGCATTAACTTTAACGCACTTGGTGAAGTAGTCCACTATTAGAACAAATCGATATGATCACAATGGCATGGGGAAGGGACCGCAGAAATCCATTCCCCATAGGACAAAAGCCAATGGTGAAGTAATGGCCTGTAGTGGCATGCTAGGTTTCCGAAAGACGATGTCGTCGAGTTGGCAGCTTTGCATCTCTATCTGAATGATTGCACATCTTTTTTATATTAATAACATTAAATTTATCAAAGATACACTCCTCTTTTGTGGCACCTGTCCGAAGCAGAATATCTTAGGCATAATCACCTTCTTAATGGTAAGGCTTTGGAGTTAAAATTAACTTTAAGAAGTTCACTCTTATTTAGATTGAGAGAAACAAAGGTCAAATCCACATTAATACTCCAAATTGCATCTCTTCATTGACTTGGGATGGTTTCTTTCTCTCAACTTCATGGAATATTTGAAATTAAAACTAAAATTATTATTAATTTTTTTATGAAAGAAACATTTAATAAAAGATTTTAGAAAATTTATAATTACTTAATATCTACATTTAATAAATGTTTAATTAAAAATTATCAAAATATCCTTACATTTAATCATTAACTCCAACATTGAATGTTAGGACAAAAAAGACAACATTTTAAAGAGTTGGGGGATTAAATTGGTCCCTAAAAATATTTAAAGACCATTTTAGTCCCTTACAAAGAGTTGAGGGGCCATTTTGATCATTTTTCTTTTGAATTATGGATGTTAACCTTAAAGGCTTAAGGTTTTCGTCTGACCAGATCTAAAATTAAATATAACAGATCTAAAATTAAATATATTGAGCATAATTTTAGTAGCAATAGATCTAGTTGCGAGATTGTGACATTGGTTGATCAAGTCATTAAAAAAAGTGCACGTTTTAGATATCTCAGATCTATATGGAGCATAATTATAGTAGTAATAGATCTAGTTGTCAGATTGTGACATTGGATGATCAAGTCATTAAAAAGAGTGCATGTTTTTAAATACCTCGGGTATTTTATCCAAAGCATTGGTGAAATAGATGGAGATATTATTAGTAGAATTCAAGCTGGATGGTTGAAGTGGAAGAATGCATCGTGCCTTTTGTGTTATAGAAAAGCATCCCTCAAACTTAATGGAAATTTTTATAAGATGGTTGTGAGACCTACAATACTTTATGGTGCAAAACATTGGCCATTAAAAAAGAAGTATAAAATTAAGTTAAGTGTTGCAAAGAAGAGGATGGTCATGTGAATGAGTGACTTTACACTTAGATAGAATATGAAACGAGTATATAAGTGAGAAGTTTGAAGTAGTTCCAATAGTAGATGAGATTAGAGAGTCACCTTAGATGATTTTGGTCACATAAAACATTGACCTTCCGATGACCATGTTAAGAGAGTAGATGTATTAGATTCGGCCTATGTTAAGAAAGGTAAAGGAAGACCTATAAATACTTGATTAGAAAGTATTAAAAGTGATATTTTTATTAGATTTAAATGAGAATTGAGAAGTTGACTCTTACTAGGACACAATCGAGAAAAAGGATTTAAGTCACCGATCCACATAATGGGAGGAAGGCTTGTTGCTTTTATTGTTGGCTATCAAGTAATAGGAAGCAGAAAAAACTAATGCCGACCTATCATCATCAAATATAAATATGAACCAAGCTGGTGGCTGAAGTACTGCATAACAATAACAAGTGTATGAGGTAGTATTGCTCAATTGAAGGAAACTCTAATGCTAAAACAAGAATGAAAACAAGAGAAGTGGTACAAAATAAACAAAGAATTTTAGGTTAACTAGGGTGAAAAATTAGCATGCAAAATTGCATACGACACCAACAAAAGACAAGTAAACTCTACAAAGATGCACATATATGGCACATGCCCATTTGTAATGGATTCCAAAACTACAATCATTACTCTTGTTACTAATTAGCCGTGTAAGCGCTCCACCTAATTCATTTTAGATAAAGAACACTGAGTGTGAAAAATGTAAAATGGAAATCAGAACAAATGCATTCAACACAGAAATGCCATTTTACAAATAGCACTAGATAAGACATGCTGATTTGCTTAAAACATTAGTTGAATTCAGCGCACCAAAAATGTGGATGCCATCCAGCCCAGTAAAATGAAAATTAAAAAAAAAAAATTAACTACCAAACAGGCTACTCACTTCCAGCTTGTTCTTTGGTCAAAAGAACGGCCATTTTACATTTTTCCAGCACTAGATATTTGTTAAGCTAAGAGTAACGGTCATCCAAAACAACAAAAGTTATGTGTGGTACCTTCAAAACCTCTGCATTATGCAATTCGGCCAGCTGTGCCTGATAATAATGGCACAATGTATCAAATGACATATTTCAAATGTAGGATTGACATACAACATATGTAGAGTATCTTCTGAATCTTACTAACTTTTATCCGGTATGCTTCAGAAAGCTCCTCTTGAATGTTTTGCTTTTCTCTTAAGCATCCAGCTAGCTTCTTTTTTAAGTTCTCAATCTCCTGCTCCAAACCAGAAGTCCTGATAGGCTTTCATCATGGTAAATAGATAGTTTTTTTTGCAAAAATAATAATAATATTAACTGAATTAAAGATAAGGAAAGCCCAAACCTTTGAAAATGCATTCTAGTAGCAATTGCAATATAGCTAGGGCCAGCTTGTTGCATGCATAACTGCTCTATATCTTTTCTGAGTTCATCACGTTCTACAAAGAAGTTCTAAAAATGAGCACTGGTGGTGCTGATCATAAAGCTCAATATGGGGTACAGCGGCATGAATGGCATTTTATGCTGTTAACAACTAGCTTCACAACAATGATAGGCGCCCAAAAGATTTGAAAAGTTTCACAAACGTCCTTTAATTTAAAAAGGAAAGATTACCCTTTACAAAATATTTCACATACGCATGTTGGTTAAGAAATTGTACTCACCACTGTTGAATTTTCCTATGCTACATCCCCAATTCCTCTATCTTGCAAAATGGGGATCCATCATTAAAATCCATTGATGTTGGTTATATGAATCTAATGTGTAGTTGATAACCCAAAACATTAAACTTTTTTCTTCCAGACAGACTATAGCGATATTAGACAATAAAAGAGGTAGGAGAGGAGCATATGAAACTACTATTCCAACCATTTGTAAGGAAATTTTGACTTTGCATGCCTTACAATAACTGCAATTGGCCACATATCCCCATTTTTTACTATTTTAGAACAATACCAGAAAGTTCATTTCAAACTAAAAGGTTACCAGACTTCATTTATAGTTAAAACAAGATTCAACCATAGTTCGAGTATGGCTCGGAGCAAGGTTCAAACATACTTTGAGTATGGTTCAAGCTAAGTTCGAACTTGGTTTGAACTCTTTTGCGTAATCATTATTATCTATATGAAATTAATTCATTTGAGATGCTTTGTTATGTATGCGATGGTGATAGGAAACACTTGCAAATCTTAAGTATTTCCTATCAATCTTCGGAAAACAGCGAGAATTCTCCACAAAAATCACAAAAACAGTGGATAATTTGTATTATTTGATGAAAGGGAAACGGAAAATAGCAAGATGCAATTGATCCTCTATTCGAGGGAAGAATCGATCTCTCTCAAATCTCTAGACGCCGCTAGAGCCCAAAGAAAAACCTAAATCTAGGATATCTCAAATTTCAGCCAAATTCAAGATGTCGTAACCCTAGGAAAACAAAGTATTTAATGCATACAAATCAAAAGGAAATCCCTAAACAATCCCTACATTCAAATTTCCCTCCTAACTCCCTCAAAAATCCTTCCTAAAATAGTTTATTCACTTCAGCGGCTCCGTTGGTGTGCAGAAAGGCGGAGCTTTTCCGTTGTTTCGCCCGTAAGCAAGTCCCGCATGGACCGGTCCAGTGGACCGTTCTAACAATACTCCCCTCCCAAAGATCTACCTGGTCCTCAAGGTGGAAAGTGGAAATATGCTCATGTTCCCGTGGAGGTGGCCATCCTTGAGGTGGCTAAAAAACCTTACCGAATTGCTGAATCAAGGGCTGCACTGAAAGAGAAACATCCCCTCCCTCCTCCAATCTGATCGCATCCAGCCTGTGTAGTCCCATCAGATAATCTTCCCCCGCCTCTTGTATGCTCCTAACCATGGTCTTAAGTGATACCATGGCTTTGGATAGCCATGCATCTCCCCTTATACCTTTCTCCCATCCACCATTAATTCCATCATGAGTGCACCCTAATTGTTATTGGTTTCCCCCAAGGTTTGCAACCACTTCATCCCCGGGATGACATCAATACTTCCTAACTCTTGTGGGAGAAAATCCTCCCTTACTTGAATCCCCTGGATGGTTAACACCACTCCTCTACAGATCCCCTGGCCTTTCTCCACCTTCCTTGTTCCCATCATCACCCCATAATAATCGGTGTCCACCAATTTCACTCCCAGTTGATTGACGACCTAAGTGGAAATGAAATTATGGGTAACTCCACTGTCAATCAATACTACCACATCCATGCCTGATATTTCCCCCTTCACCTTCATCGTATGATTCGAAGTGAATCCTACTACTGAATTCAAGTAGACCTCCGACATATCCAGATGCAACTTGTCATCCATCTGTCTCTCACCTCCCTCAGTTTTCTCGTCATCACAAACGGCGAGAACCTGAAGAGTTCTATCCCTATAAATGTGCCCAAGAGTATACTTCTCATCACACCGGAAACATAACTCTTTGCCCTCTTGATGCTACCAAGAATTTATGTACTTTTTTATTTTATTTGAACAATAGTATATTTTGTTTTCTATTTTATTTTCTTTTCTTTTTTAGCTATCCAATGATGGGAAAGCATCCAATGATCATGGTAGGTAGTGCATATGGCTTGGTAGACCTTTGGTTTGCTGGCTCGATTGGTCCCTGGCTGCTGGTGGTTCTCGGGTTGGCTGTTTTGGAGCATTCGGTTTTGAGCTTGTTCTCTAAGTTGCTTGAGCTGAAGTTTAGTAGCTCTTTAATTCTCAAAAGGTACCTCATTATGAAGTTTACTTTTGGAGTGGCCTTGTCCCTTCCCCTTTTCTTCTTGTCTCTTGGGATTCCGTGGCTTGTATTTAATGGGGGCTGAATTCTATGCTTTGAATTCATTATGGGGTGCTGATTTTTGTGCTTTAATACCTTTGGATCGTCAATGGCTGTGCTCCTTGTTTCCGTGACCGCCCTCGTTTCCGTGGCTGTGGCTCTCGGTCTGTGTGGTTTCCTCGTTCTCCCGTGCGCTGTCTCCTTGGTTCCTGGTTTGGGAGGTTTATCCGTGAGCTTTGAGGGAAGTTTTCTATGCCTATTATGCTTTGGTTCTAATGGAAAATTAAAGACATGTGACTCTTGGTATTCCTCTCTCTTGCCTATAAATATGAGAAAATGTTTGTGAAGGAGTTAGTTGATATTTGTGAGCATTTTGCTATTTAACCTGCGGGTTTATTTCGGAAATCCTCGGGCTCTTTCCAACCTTTTTTTCTCATCCCTCCGGAAATCCTGCGGGCTCTTTCCACCCTTTCTTCTCGGGCTTCTAATCTCTTCGTCTCTCCGCAAGTGTCACTCCATCGGTATCCTTCTTCTCAACAGTGAAGCAACTTTAGGGTGTCGTATCTTGGTTGATTTGGAAGCATTTGGGACAGTCTTGCAGTGGTGGACTATCGGTTTGCTAGTTCATATGCACTTTACTTATTTAACCTACAAATTCGATGCATGTGAGGAACCCGCTCTGACGGTTGTCTGAGGATAGCGTTTTTTTTATTTCTTTAAAATCTCCTAGCATCTTTTGTTGTGTTTGTCTAGTTTTGGGTCGTTAGCGTTTATTTAATAAAATTTGTTTTAAGTTCTACTCATTGTGTCAGATTTCTTCTTGTGTGTCTATTGTGTTCAAGAAATATATGGTCCCCTATCTTTCTTGTCTACATCACCTCTTCTCCTGTATCTCATTCTCTGTCAGACTCTTAAAATTTTTCTCACTCCCTCCTACTGGCTTCTCTCCGGTGGTCTCATAAAATCCTCCTAGTGCCAGACCCTTGGGTGTTAAATGAGTAGTCATCATCCTGTAAGTGCCTCCTGAGCTGCCACTCCTGACTCGCCTCTCTAAATTCTTTTGGTTTTCCACCAATTGGGCCAATTTCATGGCCTCTCCTAAGTCCCAAGGCATCAGAACCTTCACTGCCACTCGGATCTCTGCCTTCAGCCCCTTCATGAAGTTTTTATCCAAAATAGTATCTGATAATCACTCCACCCTACTGGCCAAGTGCTCAAACCGGTCCTGGTAGTCTGCTACTGACCCCTCCTGTGCTAAAGCAAAGAACTGCTCATAGAAATCTCCTCCCCGGTCAGTTTGAAAATGTTATATTATACAGTCCTTGAATTCCCTCCAGTTCCTGATAGGTCTCATATGGTCTCTCCACTGGTATCATGACAGTGTCTTCCCCTCCAAACATAGGTCTGCTGCTGTCAGCTTATCCTCCTTTGTTAGCCCATTAACGTCAGGGTACATCTCCACCTTATAGATCTACCCACGCATCCTCCCTCTCGAAGATAGGCATCTTCAACTTCCTCACCTTCTGATATCCCTCGTTTCCCCTCATTCCTCCATAGTTTCCTCTTTCCCAAGTGTTCGACCCCCCCCCCCCCAAGTCTCCCAATCTTCCCTTCCCCTTTCATACCCATAACCTCCTTCGAATTCCCCTCCTCTCCCTTCAAAATCAGCCCTTCGGCGGCCATAATTTCCTTCCCTATGTTCTCCATCAACGCCCCGTTGCTCCTGCCCTTCATGCCCATGCCTTTCCCCAAACCTATCCCCTCTATCCTCCCTCTGGAAAGGCTCCATATGGGGTCTCTCATTTCTCCCTCTACAATCTCTACCACCTCTTCATCCTTACGGATTTTTGAATTTGTATTATGTCCTTCTGGCCCTCTCGCCATGGAAACCGCCGATTGATTGTGAAATTCTAACATCTTCTTCATCATCTCCCGTAAGTCCGCAACTTGCCCTTCCATGGAAGAAATTCTGTCCTCCATCGTGGTTTTGATTTGGTTCATCTCTCCTCCAAAGCGTCCACTTTTTTTGGTCGTCATCGTTCTCCGAATTTTTTTAGACAAAAAAATATGGATCTTTCCTTCAAAAAGACAGCACTTTCCTTCTTTAGCAGTCCCAGAACAGCCACTGGAATTTGAAAAAACAGCCCACCAATGATCACAAGAATTGCTTTGATACCAATTTGATAGGAAACACTTATAGATCTCAAGTATTTCCTATCAATCTTCAAAAAACAGCAAGAATTCTCCATAAAAATCAGCACAAAATCACAAAAACAGTGGATAATTTGTATTATTTGATAAAAGGGAAACGGAAAATAGCAAGATACAATTGATCCTCTATTCGAGAGGAGGATCGATCTCTCTCAAATCTCTAGACGACGCTAGAGCCCAAAGAAAAACCTAAATCTAGGAGATCTCAAATTTCAGCCAAATTCAAGATGGCGTAACCCTAGGAAAACAAAGTATTTAATGCATACAAATCAAAAGGAAATCCCTAAACAATCCCTACATTCAAATTTCCCTCCTAAATCCCTCAAAAATCCTTCCAAAAATGGTCTGTTCGCTTCAGCGGCTCTGTCGGCATGCAGAAAGGCAGAGCTTTTCTCTTGTTTCGCCCGTAAGCCAGTCCCACTAACAGATGGCCACTCTAATCATATCTGAAGAGATCTATTATACTGTTCTATTTTTTTATCTATTATACTGTTCGGATCAAATACAAAGCAAAGCAAAGGGTGTAATGGATAAAATTGTTAAATAATTTTAGGCATGTCATCTTATTGGAAGAGCTGAGAAAACCTCATTTAGACATCTTTTCAAAGCCCCTGAGCAGCGATTCTCTAGAGCCCTAATTCATTAAGTGCTACTAAAAATATTGATGATGAAGAGAATGGGAGGTAATCTATTGCGTTCAATAATAGAGATAAGAACACAAGATTTCAAGTTGTTGAATTTGATTAGATCACTAGGGGTCGGGTTTGGAGAAATTTCATCTGAAGAGAAATTCACAAGAAGAGCAGAAGTACTATTTTAATTGATAATTACTTAGAAGGAGACGAGAACTTTACAAATGAAGAACTATAAAAGCCATTCCTGTTGTGCAATAATAGGGATGAAGTGTGCCAATTAAGTCTATATAATCTTGTAGATGGTATTCTACTTAACCATAATAAGTATAGTATTATTTTTACTGAGATGTTTGTTTTGGTTGTAGGTGAAGAAAATTTTTTTTGGATATTCATGATGTAGGATGTCATAGGTGAGAACTCTGAAAAGGCTAAATAAGGATATGATGCACTAGGCCACTACCCTAAACAAAAATATCCCAACCCAGTGCCTAATCAAATGGATATGCCGCAGTATTTCAATATGGGCTCATGAAGCTATCCCAAAGCTAAGGAGAAAATGTACAGAGTATCATGGAGAGAGCACCAAGGATATTGAGCTAGAAGACGAACAAAATACTTATTGAGAAAGTCTTTTGCCATTGTTAGAACAACAAAAACAAACCTTTATCCCACTACATGATCTTTTGCCATTGTTCATGAACAAAAATAACAGGGATAAGTAAAGTATTAGATTTTAAGTGCTATTAATTAATATTGTATATTACCTTTAAAGTCTGATTTAAATTAATTTTTTGTAGTTAATTACAAACTCCAGACAAGTGCATAGAAATGATGAAGAGGACTTCTATAAATCTCAGCCTCTTCTGATTCAGTTTGTGAAGAAGAAGGTGACCATCACACATTTTGTAGGCAAGCGTGATGATCACAATGAGGAAAAAAGTAGAAGAGAACTGAAGATCAATCACTTGTTAGTTAGTTTATGCTCTCATTCAAGTAGTTGAAGCGAGTTTTTGCCGTTGCTAGGGAGTTGAAGAACAAATAACTTCGATTAGAGAGTAATCAGCCAAAGTAGTACTGAAATTAAATGCTCTAAGCAATTTTGTCTAGAGTTATATATAGATGGAGGTGAATAGAAATAAAGAGGATAGAGAGCAATCCTTTACTACTGAAGCACCCATTTATAGTAAGGTAGAGGATGAGGTGGAGGAGGAGGATAGCATGGTGGTCCTTTCCATTGATTATGTCATATTGTCATTCCTTCAAAGATAGAAGGTGATGTGCACAAGACAAGAGATGTCAGCCCATCTCTTTCTATTGTATGTACAGATAATATGGTGAAAGATACAATAGAAGTTAGCTTTATTATAACTAGAGATGAAGTAAAGCTAATAGATTATATGAAAAGATGAATGAAGAATAAGAAGTTTTTCATTGAGGATTTCACATATCAATCAAGAAAGGGGTACAAGCCAATAAATTCATGCACCATTAATTAATCTCCTATGACCGGTTGTTGAAAAGTCATTATCTTTCTTCAAAGCTTGATTAGCAAGATAAAAGACAACTCTAGAGAGAGAGAGGATAAAGCAATAGAATTGCAGCGTTGTTTCAACAGTAAAGTACACGCACAACATAGCTAGATAATAAGGTAAAAATTATATTACTATGTTAATGGCATAAATTTCTCACCAAATTGCATAGATTTCTCACCAAATGTTTACAAGAATTAATCCTTTATATCCAAAGACTTGTAGATCAAACATTATTTTTTATTAGCTATTCAATCAATATTGTAGAGCAACAATCTATGCATGCAGGTTGAAGAGGAAGGATTCTTTTAAGTGACCTGAAGCTGTGCTTATGTATCTTATAATAATATGAACAAAGTTTCCAAAGTCTTGGGTTGATGCAGATCGCACATATTCTTTAATGAACAAGAACAAAGTTTATCTGATAATATGTGAGATCTCATTGCATATAAAGAGCATGAAATTATATGATTTTGACTCCACTTACATTCCAATGCAGACTATAGAAAATGATAAATTGTCTTTGCAACTACTTCCATAGATTGCTTGAGTTCTCAACATTATTTGAACACAAAGAAAACTTTGCCTCATCCAAATCTCCTTGGAAGTAAAGGATAGCCTATTCCAATGAGGTCTCCGGGTTTACAGTGAGGTAAACCATTTGAAATCTCAACAAAATTTCATGTAGCACTTACACATATAATCTAATAAGTACTTTATATCTTTTTTTGAAACAAAGATTATGGAATGTACGTGACACAACACAGCATCTACTTCAAAGAAAGATCATCTGAAAATTCCACATAATCGTATACCATTCTACAGAGACCAACTGTGCGTAAATTTCTTTTATAACAATATAACTCCATAGTTACATAGGTAGATATCAAGAAAATATTAAATTGTGCAATTAAGCTAATTGCAAATGATATTAAATTAAGTCTATTTATCTATTCATTTAGTTAGATAAATGATGTATATTTATATTTTTATCCATTCATTCATTATAATAAATGGCTTAAATTCAATTTTTTTTGTGCTATAGGTAAGCTATTACTATTGTGACAACACCTGATATGTTAAAGCTATAGCTTATTGTGTTAATAGCATAGTGATTACCTATAATATCAAGTTATATTAGATAGGGTTTTTGCTATTGCGATTGCACTTTATTGTATCAATGTTATAATTTGTTTGTGTTATTGTTGTTGTGATTACACACTAATGTATTAAAGTTAAATAGTCTGTTGTATTGCAGTTATTGTGATCGCAATTGACTATATCAACCTTATTGCTATGAATGCACTCTTTTGCATCAACTTTATATTGTGTTATAGCTTGTTCAAACCATATACAACATTGCTCCATCCATGCTCGTATCATCTTTCAAACATGTTTGTGCATTGTTCAAATAGATTAGAATTTTACTCAAACTTTACTTTGACCTTTTTTTCAAACCTTGTTCGAATCTTCCTTCAAGAAATTGTTGGAATCATGTTCGTATTATATCGGAACCTTGTTCAAATATGTTAGAATCTTAGACTAATTCAAAATTAGTTGAAGCTTTTCAAACCTTGTTTGAATCATGTCAACAACTTGCTTAAACCTTATTGGAACCACTTTCATTCTTCGTGGACTTCAATAGATAATCCACAAATATAAGAGGTATAATTTTTTCCAAAAGGAACTTCCAAAAAAAATTCTATAAGAGTGTAGATATTTGGCCAACTATAACAATTATGAGGCACATAAATTAAATTTCCTGTTTTTAAGAGAGTAAAGAATAAATGAAATAAAAAAGGCCCAATACCAATATGAAACAAGTTATGACACAACAAAACCTGCAAGACATTTTGAAAAAAGTAATCTTGTGATTTTATCTACTTAAATGACCAATAGATATCTTCTTTCACATTGCACGAATTTAATGGTGAATTTCTGAAATTAAGAAACCCTACAAGTACATAGATCAAACTTGATGCTTAGTTGATATTTACCCAAGTATAAGGTTATTATAGTTCAGCCAGTTCAACCCCGGTGATAACCCTATCAAACGGCCAGTAAGATGCAGCATTATTAAATCCACATTTTTACTGGAATATAAAATTGGAAAAAAGTTAAAAACACGAAACAGATTAGAGAAAAACAATGTATTTCCATGAATAATTCAACTAATGTAAAAACAAGAAAGTTTATTATAAAAGAAGAAATAGATGGGTACTAAAACTAAGTTATATTAATAAAAGATAAATAAAAAAACGCAATAAAAATGAAAAAAAACATGAATATAGGCATAAAGATAAACCCAATATACATGCAAAGAAGTTGTGGCACAGGAAAGCTAGAAGACTGTCCTTTGAAGAGATTCGTTTATTCACTATCAAGTTCAAAAGGTTAGCAATACCAATTCAGTAGCAATCAACTCCAATGTTCATCTCAGTATTACAAGCATGACAATTTTTTTGTCTTTTGTTTAAATGATGCGGGGAATTAATGTGGAAGGCTTTGTAGATTAAAAAAAGATGGTCAAAGGAGAAATAATATGCATAGAAAGATACTGAATAGTAAGGGAAAAGGAAAATAGAAGAGCAGAAGGATTAAGATATAGATATTTAAAAGTGTAAACTTGATGAAAGGTGATTCCACTAATTCTTTTTCAAGCTTCACTCGTAAACTTAAAAGGAATTCGCATCATTGGAAAATACACTTTACCCAACATTAATCATAACACAAAAAAACTTTATCTGAAGAAACCCTAATTACAGAGCACGTTGAATAACTAACAAGGAAACTTAATAGCAAATATTTAACATAATAATCACAAACATGAAAATGATCGGAAAGTCCAAAAACATTAAACTTTGGAGCACTGATTCTTTTTCAAGCTTCACTCTTAAACTTAAAGGACCTCACAAACATAAAATTATATTTTACCCACCATTAATCATAACATAACACATTAAACTTTATCTTAAGAAACCCTAATTATATAGCAGGCTGAATAACTCATTAGCAAATATTTAAGATAACAATGATAGACATAAAAATGATCAGAAATTCCAAATGACATTAAATTTTTAAAATAACCATACAAAACAAGAAATAATTCATAAATTGGCAAATTTTAGTTTCAACCAAATATGGCATAACGTAAGTAAAATCAATTTTCAATTCAATTTTTAACGCTTTAATTCCTTCCCCAGGGAATTTTTTTCCTCAAATGTTTCTGGATGTTTAATATTGTCCGACCTACCAAATTGATTCCATCCTATCTTCACGTGCTCTAATAGGCAACCAGACATACTGCAGTGAAAATTTCATGCCCAGAGAAATTTGTTCCGCAAACAACCATAAATTCCAATTTTAGATCATATAAGTCATCATCATCATCTTTAGCCTTATCCTAATTTTATGGGACAGCAACTTATATTAACCGAGCAATAAATCAACACTATTTCGCTTTTATAAAATCAAAAAAAAGAACTATGCCTCAAAAGAAAGAAGTCTTAACAAGTTCGACAAGAGCTATCTAAAGGTCATTAGAAAGTGTACCATGCTCAAGATGCTCGATACGGTTCTGCAATAATTCCTTTGTAAGCCCCTCGTCATCCATTTCTGACAGAATCATAAACAGATTAAGGAATTTATACTTTTTCAGCTAAACAACTTGCATACTCTAACATGCAAATTAAGATCATAATGAATTGCAATATATATAAGGATTGTCACTTCTGCTAAAGGAGCGCCATTTTAATAACCTAAATATACACTAAATCTACTAGAAAACAGTCTGTTTACAGAAACTTCTTGAGGGGAGAGATACAATAACACCTCTAAATTCAAGATCAAAATACTGAAAACTATGGTCTAAAAATTACTAAATTGGAACGTGAAGAAAGGTAATAGTCCTAAGAGACAACTTAGGGCCTGTTTGGATGCAGGATTTAGGCAAAAATTTAGGCAAAATTTGTGCTAAATCCTGCCAACCGCCAAAAAATATAACGTTAAATCTCACGGTAAGTCTAATCTCTACTTCACAGCGTTTTCGCCATTTTTTCCCTAAATCCCGAATTTCATAAATCTGATCTTTTTGCAGATTTCGTAAATCGGACCAAAGAAGCGCGCAAAAGGGAAGAAAATCATTCCTTCGTGAGCTCCCAACACGACTTCTTATTCGACAGGAACAACGTCAGAGGAGGAAGAGGAGGCCGAGAAGCATCAACTCTTTCAGAACTCTACTTCATACGAAACAGAATAGCAACAAATAAATGCATAAGAGGAAAAGTAAATCCTCGACAGACGGTGGCAAGCGACTCGTTTGAAGCCGAAGAGGGAAGCTAAGGGTGTGTTTGGGACGGCTTTTTCTCTGTTATGCGTTAGGAGATGTAACCGAGAGGTGGCTTGGGGTTATGTGATCGTGCTTCATTCTTAAAATTTTCACGTCCCGCGGTTGCTTTTCCTGTTAAAAGGAAGCCTCCCGCGTTCGCTTGCTTCCTGTTGTTCGAAGCTAAGAGAAATATGTGAATGCCCTTACAATTATCTGCAAATTACCCGATTGTCTTCTTCATCCTCGCGAAGTTCCGCTATATAAGACATTTCTCTGCTTCATCTCGCGAAGTTCTGCTCTTGTATGTTTTTTATTGATTACTAACACAAGTTGACTATATTCAACATACTTACAAACATATATTACTCTAACAAATTTATATTGTTTGTTCACATAATTTGAAAAATAATCAATATTATTATTCGGAAATATACACCTCTTATATATCTCTTAATTTCTTTCTTAAATATTAAATACATAGCCGACACACAAACATTTATAAATTTTAAAATTTCCTAATTCCTACTGCTCAAACTATTTCTTCTTTACTATAAGCATTAATGTTCTTCTTTTTGTTAGCAAACTAAATATAAATACTAATTTAATATGCAATATTTAGGACTTACGATGGGTAAACCTAAGGATGGGGGACCATCTGCAACATGGGAACGCAATGTGAAAATTATTTTTTGTGATTTATGTTTGAAGGAAATTGAAATAGGGAATCGTCGAACCACGAATTTCAATAAAGAGGGTTGGACGAATTTAATAAAATATTTTCAGGAGAAAAAAGGTTTGAGAGTATGACAAAACACAATTAAAAAATAAATGGGATCAACTAAAAAAGGATTGGAAATTATTGAAGGAGTTGAAGCGAGGTTCAACTAGATTGGGTTGGGATCCTATAAGGAAAACTATTGATGCACCAGATGAATGGTGGAAAGATAAATTGCAGGTAACATTTGAATTATTACATATTTATATATGTCTATTCATTTTAAACTTAAATTTTACAACTTCTAATATATACAATTAACTATGCCTTATAGGTCCTTTCAAATGTCAAACAAGTTCAGATATTGTGGTATAGATCCTGAACTGGAGGATAAGCTCGACATGATGCTAATAATCATGTGAACATTGTGATAGTGGATTAAAGTTGAAGAAGATGACATGAAAGTGGCTGATTCGTGCCTATATTTGGAAAAGGAAAATTTGAAAAACAGCATCTTAGATTACCAATTAAAGAACAAGATAATAAAAAAATAGTGAATAAACCACACCCAATAACTTGACTGGAGAACAAAAGGGTAGAAGGTTAATGATATTTGTAAATTTGAACTTCAAAGGAATGATAAATTGTTCAAAATAGCCCCTCTAGGTGGGATATTTTTATTTTAACTATATCTGAATTTAGTTGAAAGTGAGCTGATAGGTTTTGGATTACAACTGCACAACCTGGTAGGCAAAAGTTCACCATAAATTAGTTCTTATCGAAAATAAAAGAATAATGAGCAACCCTATATTGTTAGAACAAGTGCATATCAAACCTACAAAAAGCTTGCAATTATGAGACAAATGAAGAACAAGGGAATATTATTCTCATTATTCTTAAATGCTAAGCCTATGCTACTTGTAGGAGATCTGCAGCAATATGAGCATCATCATTAGAATCATCAATACCATTAACTTTATTGCCGCTACTCAGGGTCAACTTTCTGTATCCAAATCCCCCATTCATTCCTAATAAGTGTTAAATTATATCCAGAATATGCTTATTTCTTACCAAAACAAGGGTTTTGCAGTAAAATACACAGTAACTTAACAATAAAAACAGCTCTTCCTCAAGCCTCTACCAAGCTAGAATCATGTCCGCTCATTCATCTGCTTACTACTTGATCTCCAGCACATTATTTTGGGCCTATCTTCTTCAACCAACCTATCCTTCTAAGTCAACGCCTAATACATAAATTGCGGGCCAAATAAAGCATAATAAACTACTAGCTGGGAATTGATTCATTCTTTAACTGAGGTAATAATAATCATCCAAGTGGATTAAAGGGAAGAGCTGTAAATACAAGGATTACCAGCGGTACTATCAAGAAAATACGCTCCAAGCCCAGCAACCCAGAAGATAAGGAAAAACCCCTCGCCTCAACACTAGGGTTTCCACGAATGAAATATAGTAACGTTTAGAGCAAGAACAACGTCATGGCACCGCGGAATACGAGTAGCCAAGTCGAATTCTAGGCATGGAAGAGCAAGGGTCGCCGATGTGGTGCTCTGATACGTTGAAGAGGCTAGTACAAATTCCCCGTTCCGCAGGACGTCGAAAGAAAATGCTGGCCGTTGGGCCTATGGTGGGTTGGTTCCCGGGGTTACCACGCCAGGACTACGTTTTTGGAGATCTGTAATAAGTCCTCTAAATTCTGATGTACTAAATCCTTCTAAAATTAGACCCTAAAAACTGTTTAACAACACTAGTGTAAAATCTTGTTGAAGTGGATAGGAGCTCGGTGAAAAACAGAAAAAAAAAATAAAAATAAAAGGGACAGCAACCTAATATTGAGTGTTAATATCAAGATGTAGCAATGTGATATAATATAAATAAAGGAGAAATTATTCTGTGTGGACGCTGAACACCGTCTGGAGATCAACCAGAATGCGTCACGTCACCCCTTGTTTGGTACCCGGCTCGATACTACTGGAATGACGTATTCTGATTGGTCTCCGGATGACATTCAGCATCTGAACAGAATATTCTCTCCTTATTATAAAGTGATAGTCAAATTTTATATAGTTTTGTGTAAACATGGAATATTGGATTATTTGTGATTGACATTGTTGAAATGTTATTGTAGTGAAGGGGAGTTGATTTGGGAGTGTTGAAGTAGATGAGGGTACCTTCAAGGTAGGGGTGTCAATTCGGGTCAACGGGTTGGGCTCAGGTCAAACCCAAAATTGACCCGGCAATATTCGGGTCAACCCGAACCCGAACAGTTTTCAAAAACGGGTCAAGTTTCCGAACCCAAACCTGACCCGATTTGGGTTCGGGTCAACCCAACCCGGCACGAATGACCTGAAGTTGACCTAAAATTGCTAGTTTTTTTGGTCAAAATCGGGTCAATCTTTGATTTTCGTGTCAAAACAGGTCAATTTCGGGTTTTAGTGTCAAATAGAAGTTTTCGTGTTAATTTCGTGTCATTTTCGGATCAATTTCGGGTTGCTGAGTCAACCCGAACCAGACCCAATTTTTAAAACGAGTTGATTTGTTGAACCTGAACCCAGCCCGTTTCGGGTTCGGGTTGACCCTAATCCAAATTTTTCCGGATTGGATTCGAATCGTGTCAAAAATTGACACTCCTACTTCAAGGTGGTAGTAGTAGTCAGTTGTTGACTTTCTTTCCATCGTGCCATATTTATGAAGTAGATCGTTTGTGTAGTGCTATTGGGAAAGCAAACCATGTGTAATAAATAAATTATTTAAACGAATTGTAAAAGTATTTCAAGTATATAAAATTTATACTGAAAACTGAACAAATTGCATGATTAAATTTGTATCCTTCATATTATTTTATTTCAAAATAACCTAATCCACTCACAAATCCATGAAAGTCTTTTTCTGATTCATTTCGCTTAATAGTAAGCAGAAAATAAAAATAATAGAAGAAAATAAAGGGATAGGAAAAAACATAAGGCTTGGAGGCCATGTAGCAATTTTTGTCAGCCGATCATGTTAGAAAAATTATTCATCTTAAGGTAGGCTACCATTGCCCTACTTTTGATTTCAATAATTTTATGTATTTTGTATTTTTGTATTTTAATTTTGTTAAAACTTACAAAAGTTGTGATATCTTGATTTTTGACAAACTTTTATCACATAACTTTTGGTATGCGATATATATCATCAATACGAGTATTTAGGCTGGTATATTTTTGAATTTCACTGGGCAAAATGATATTTATGAATTTCTAAAGATATTACATATTTGGTAGATTTTTCCATTTTTTTATACATCATTTCATTCATAAGTGAAAATAATATTATTGTTACATGATGCATGTAACATTCCTATGTAAGCAATAAAGATAAGCTAGTTATAAAATAATTCAGGTTGGAAGGAGTAAGATACCATATACGAGAGGGTGAGCCAAAGGGCTTTCCTTTAAATTATAACTTATGGTGTAATCCCAATTCAAAATTAAAGATTCAACATACAAAATAGAGAGTAATAAGGGGCTAAGTACGCCGAAAGGCAGGAGTGATGACTTTAATATAAGATAGCGGTGTTACACACTCCATTTTGGTTGTGCCATACACACTACCGTTCAAAATTTCTACATATAATGAAAATAATAAAAATAAAAGAAAAAACATCGTACCAATGTATGTTTATACACACACATATGATTTATTTTTGAGCATATGATTTTTATTTCATATCCTTCCTTCATATTATGTAGAGTACTATCATCGTTGGAAAGAATGGTTGCATTTAGACCTGTACAAGTGATGTGTTAGCTATTAATTATCTTGATCGGGCACGAATCTCGAGGCAAAAATTAAATATGGGATCATATGAACTCCGATTTCAGCAAACTTACAGTCAAACTGAGCGTCTCAGAAATACAAACCCAACGACACCAAATTCAACTCAATTTGAGCCCAAATGGGTCCGAATCAAAGACCCGAAGTGTTGTTGGAAGGTTCAAACCACAATTTGGATTAACAAACAGTTTCAAAACATAACATGCTTATAGTCGAATCGAGCGGCTCGATGAGACAAATCCAATGAAAGTCTAGGATCATTCCTTTACTAAAGGTAGGTCAAACATTATGCAACTGCTCTATGTAGAATTCAATTAAATCGGAGTGTAATCACAACTAACAATTACATTTAAAACAATATGTTTGATTATAGGCATTATTTCAGATAAACGTAAGCACCTACAATACAACGTAATATAATTTTGATACATAATGTAATGTAATGTTAATAGTTATAACACAATACATTGCAGTTTTGATACAATCACAACAACCATAAAATAAAATAAAATAAAAAACAACAACAACTTTTATACAATAAAATGCAATCACAATTAAGTATAATACAAACATATTGTATTTCACGTGGAAAAGCACAATCATGATAACTATAGCTTAATTTAATTGAATTTCTCCTTGTATATATATTAGATGAATTCTAATCACTTAGTGAAGCTGGTGAGTTTCCATTCAACTTTTTTAGCCAAACATTATACTAGGATGATCATCTTTATTACTATAACATATCAAAATCTACACTTATTTGAACTTTTACTCTCTTCTCACATGAAACTTTTAGCATATTGAGCTTGTATTCTTCCTCATTAAAACTAGAGTTTTCCCATCCTTTTCAAGATGACCAAAAGAATCAACCAAGCTAATTTTTTTTATCAATTATAACATAGCTTTGTATGTCACCCCATTGTGTAATGTATCTCTATATGTATAATTAGAGTAGACATCTCTATGCATAAGAAACATGTATTAAATTTTTGATCTCAAAACAAAATGATTCATAAGTTATTCATTTTTTGGACCTATATTTTTCTTTGGTGACATTCCTATTATAACATATAACAACCACCAATGAACAAATTCAAAGATTAGTAGTTAAAAATATAAAACCAATAACCTTGAATAGATGCTAATTGGGCATAGATATTGTCATTATTAAGCCTTATTTTAGACCGATAACGCGAGCTGAGATATTATCAAACAGTGGAATTTTTATTAGGTCTAGGCACCTGGTGTAGCTCTACATCCGGACGTCAATAAAATATTGCCACGTGCTCTTACTCTTTACCGCACGGCCCAACGACCCGACCCGGAACGAGAACCCGGTATTGCTATGTTCGTGTATGCAAGGTATTGTTCGGTATTGCTAGGTATTGCTCGGTATTGCTTGACAATAACGAGAAATACCACTCTGTCAAGACCAATACCAAGCAATACCTAGCAAAATTGGAGTATTGCTCGGTATTGCTAGGTATTGCTCGGTATTGCTAAGTATTGGTATTGACAAAATGATATTTCTCGCTACCGAGCAATACCGAGTAAAACCTAACAATACCCTGGTCTGTACATAGCAATTTTGGGTTCCGGTCCAGGTCGAGTTCGGGTCGTCGGGTGCCGCACGGTAAAGAGTAAGAGCACGTGACGACATTTTATTGGCGTCCGGATGTAGAGCTACATAAGGTGTCCTGAAATAGAGAGTGATGGAAATAGAAAAATTCATGCAACTCTTTTGTCGTATATGACCTGTAAGTGAAGGGCTATGATCTCAGCATCTTAGCCCAACATAATTTTTTCGAGAAAAAACAAACACCAAGCATATTCAGCCTTCATAATTATATATTTTAAGAGATATGAACACATAAATGCAATTATTAAAATTTAACTCTGAACAAGTTTTGCATCTTCCGCATGCAGTACGCAGGTTGCTGCAACCCCTACAGTTCTTCTACCATGCCGAACCATACAAATTCCTGTAATGGATTACAAGAGAATGCATGCTCTATCATTTAAGCAGAAGAACTTTAGAATTACACACCTTTCAATTCATATATAGCCTTGCATGAAAGCCCAGAAACAACACCGATCATTCCAAAAAAAGAGTTTTTTTTTTTTCATCAGTATAATTATACAATATAGATATAAACTTACCATATCTATACTAATTATACATATCTACAGCTGCTCTCGCTTACATATGTTCTAATATGATCACATCAGCTTGATCCGATCATGTACATCTTCATATTTAATAAAAAAAAACAAAGCAAAGTAAACCAAGGTAAGAAACAGAACAGAGAGATAGATCTATCGTCGCAGATTATCTAAGATACGTAACCAGTTCTATAAGCTTCACCTATATGAAATTTCCAAGTGAAAAGATATTCCTTAGATTCGCAGTAAACTCGAATCACATCGCAAGGCGCGTCAACAAAAGCCTTCCGGCCATTGCATGCCCACTCTATCTTCACCCTGCATGAAAACCCATTCAACGATGGCGGAGGCCTCGCCGAATCGCCTGGGAATTCGAGCATTACCTCTCCATTAATCCTCCTTGAAAGCGGTCGAAGACCGAACCCCTTGCATTCGGAGCCATAAACCATGGAGTCCAACCACATGCACTCCGGCTGGCCGACCAACTCCTTGTACGCCGAGTTCGCCAGCCGCACTCTGTTTTTATAGTCGGATACTACAGCTGGAAGTGTCTCGGACTCCACCTCCTCTTCCACTTCCTCGGGGCTCAAAGGAGCCGCGGGCTGAGGCGAGGAGAATCCGGCTAGCTCGTTTATGGTACCCACGCTGATGCTGGAGCCAACGGGCCGGACGGGTCGGGGAGCGATGATTTTGGGTTCTTGAAGCTTCTGAAGTAGGTCGCGTTCCACGAGCGGCTGCGTTTTGGTTGTCGGCGGCGAAGCAGTGAGAAAAGGGAAAAAGGTGGGGGTTTTTTGGCGCTTGGCGGGGAGGTGGGGGCGGTCGCGCTTGCGGAAGCGGCAGCGGCGGGAGCGGAGTTGGAACGCGGGGGTGTGGGTGGAAGCAGCAGGGAACTGGCCAGGGGCAAGCTGGGGTTTGGGGGCGATGGGCCGGAATCGGGCCAGGATTTCATGGGTTTTGGCGACATCGACGGACTCGTACATGGCAGCTGGGTGGCCGCGGCGCCGGTGATGGGGTGGGTTTTAGAGAAGAAAAAGAGGGCGGCGCGTGTGGAAAGGGATCGGGTACGTGGAGTGGGGTTGGGCGACACGTAGTTATATGGGCGGTAGGAGCGAATGAGGGGCGGGCACGCGGTGGGATGGGGCGGTGCGGGGCCTACGCAGCAAGTGCATGGGGAGGGGGAGATATGGGTGGCGGTTGGCGGAGGGAGGGAATGGATTTGCGGAGGCGGTGGGCCGGAGATCACGTGTCGATGGAATGGGACAAATGGCTCTGGCTTCTCGGGGTTGGTAGCTTCGGTGTTATGCTGTCAAGGATTTGACTTGGGCTAGATATTGAGGAAGGAGGAGATGGAATGGAGGGCTGGGATTGGCGGAAGGTGGGGTGGAGAGAAGGTAGATGGATGCGCATTAGTGAAATACGAGGCGGAAGGAGCGACATGTGGAGCTGCTCCGGGAGAGGATTTGGCAGAAATTTATTTTTTTAAATAACATATTTTAAAATGGAGAATTATATATATAGTTGTTATTTATTTTGACAAAAATTTTTTTATTCTAGGTATGCATTGAATATATTTAAGTATTTTTCAAAATATAGTTTGAAAACATGTTCTGATAAGATTTAAAATATATTTTGTAATATTTTTATCTAGCTCTATATGAGAGTTCTGTCAAAATAACTTAATTTTAATGTTATATGATCGAAACAATTAAAAAAAAAAATCTTATTTTTTAAATTGAGCTATAATCCTGCTTAGTGAAAAGAAATCATCTTGTCTCACTGAATTAAAAAAATCTCAAATAAAACAAAAATAAAAGCCAGAGAGTAGGGTTCATTTGTGGAGAAATTATTCCGTGCGGAGTTCAAACGGGAAAGAATCATCTGGATTGTGAGTGTACAAACAGTGTGTACAATTTTTGTACACAGTTTGACTTAAATTGTGTACACACTGTTTTGTACAATGTGCACACTCACAGTCCGAACAGTACTTTCTCATCCGGACTCTGCACGAAATAATCTCTCTCATTTGTGACCTCTTCTCACTATTTAAAATATTTTTTTAGAACTATATTGTTATATTGTTGACGTTTGATTATTGGGATTACCTTTCAACAGAATTTAAGGAGTTTCAGTCAAGGCATGGTTTTTTTTAAAGACATTTAGGTTATTAAGATGGACTCACACATAAATTTCATATATAATATTTAAATTTAAAATTTCTTAATTGATAGTTCAAACTCTCAAAAAATAAATCAAGATGAACTGAATGTGTTTAGATGAAGTAGTGACAGGCATGCAGCCATGCAGGTTTAATGGGTTATTGTTCGGTGCATGTCCAGAGTTTTGGATAGGTATTATATATTAATTTTATATTATATCCACAGGCTCGGGATAAGATAAATAGATAATTGTCTATATTATTTCTTTAGGATAAGTCAAACTAAGGGTAGGTTTTTTTTTTTTTCCTGCTTATTTAAAAGAGCTGCCATGAGCCACAACATAACAAATTGTTGTTTAGGGTTTATGGGCACTTGATGAATGACTGGAATTTAACTTGATTAAGTTCTTTTGAGTTAATTAGTACTTAAATAAAATATATAACTATTTTTGGAAGTATTCCCAAATAGAAAAAAAGTATGATATTTAAGTTGGAAAAATTATTACAGGATTTACATACATATTGCATAATTCTTATGTATTTGAATATTGGGTCAGATACATGTTTCATATTATGACCGCAATGCAATTTCAAGTGGGGCTCTGACCTAAAACCTTGAAAGCAACCCTAAACTCCGTTGCCCTCGCACCATTCATTGTACTGCTCCCGCTCGCCCACTCGCCCTACATCACTCGTTCGCTCGTGCACGGTCACCCATCACTCCAATTGAGTTAGTGGGTCGGGTTCGGGTTTGAGTTCGTGATCCGTTTAGCTAATCGGGTCAGTAACTAAGCAGATTAGTTGAAGGCGAGTTAGTTTCGGGTTGGACCCAAACCCAACTCAAAATCCTATTTTGATACCACTAGTTGTGAAGTTGTGGGGAGAGTATTTTAGACTTCTTTTGAGGCAATTTTCTTACGTCTTTGCTTGTTAAACTGCAATCACAAATTCCATTTTAATGTTACTTTTTCTCTATTTTCAAGAAATTTTGTAATATGAATATACTTTTTATAAAAACTTTAAAATTTTTCTTTTCCTCACGATAACTTTTTAATCACTTTTATAAAAAGTTGAATCCATTCCAAACAAACCCTTAGCTTTTCGTTACAAAAGTTGCTTTCCATCACAAAAGTTTTTGAAAAGAAGTGAAAAAAGAACAAGAACAAAAACAGTGAAAATAAAATTATGATGGCTATATGAAAAGTAAATCTACAAGAAAGCTATCCCAAATAATGTAAAAGCACCACCAATGAACTCCAAGCCTGATTGCTATACGTGGTCATTGTAAATGTAATAGAAGCTGCATATGTGCATTAGTGCATAATAGGGTTGATGGTATCCCTAGATAGTATGAAAAAAATACATATCCATATGCTAATGAACTTGTTATCATAATGTGCAATACCTTTTTCACAGCTATTATGATGACCAAAATAATTGCCGCCATAAGTAGCAAGCAGTCAAGCACCATCAAAGAGGAGTAATTTTCTAAAGTTCTTCATATAATCAACCTATGTATGCATATGAAGGCATCAAAAAATGATTAGGCAATGTTGACCACCCATTTGCTTAAACCCTTGGGTCGAAGGGTTGACCTGGTCAAACTAATCAAGCCATGCCCCAAGACCACCTCCTTTGTGTTTAGTGGATCAAACCAGGTTTGCTAATCCCTGACCCAGGCCCTGGGTCAACTTAGTTGACCAGGTCAACCTGGGTTGACCCAAATTAACCTAAAACCTTATAATTTGGTTTCAAATCAAATCTAGAGCTTCTTAGGCTCAATTCTCTCCACTCTTAGACTCTCTGGGTAATACCCAACCTATTGGGCCCAATCCCTTGCCTTGGGTCAACCTAGGTTGACACATTTAGACTCATTTGAGAAAAAAAAATCAAATTCAATACAATTCCAAGCTTCCTTGGCCCCAACCCCTGATCACCTTATGTCAAATTGACCATGTTGACTGGGCCAACCTTTAACTTGGTCAGCCAAGTCTTACATGGTTAAGTTTGACCTATTTAGGTCAATTTAAAGCCCTTTAATGCATTAAACACATTTCCTTTTGCTCTCTTGGCTTAAAGCCCGTCTAAATCACCCTCTCTCCCTCTTAATTAACTCTTGATTCAATCTTGATCATTCTTCTTAGGCCTTGAGCCTTTAAATATTCTCCTTAGGGTTTATTAGGGATTCTCTTGCTTTATTCTTTCTCTAGCCGCTCTCCTTAGAGTTTATTAGGGACTTTCTTGCACAAGCACCTAGTTTAGGCCCTCATAGATCTAAGGACTTAATGTGTCTACTATTGTTATGCATTTTCTTTCATGTTATCCAAGGTTTAGTCCAAAACTTGCTTTAAACCTAATTAACGTAGGGACACCCTAATGATAATAATTAAGGACATGTCTAGTGAATTTAGAAAAATTCTAGGAGCTAGGATAAATCCCCGATTAACATGAAACTTTAAACACTTGAACTTAGCGACATCCTAAACCTCTTAGAATTTTTTATGAATTTTTAGGAGCTTTTAACCCCTTAATTAACTAACCCTAATTTAACATTTAATTAGGCCCCAATAAATTCAGAAAATTCTAATAACTTTATTTTAACTCAAAAAAATACTCATAATACTTTGAATTCTTCAGAATTCAACTCTTAATCTTATATAATTAGAGCCCCTTAATTGAACTTCAATTTAAGTCTTAATTTAACTTTAATTAAAAATTACCTTTTTACGTTATATAAATAATTAAGAAATATTTAAATTTCAAAATTTCCTCAAGCATTTGGGAACATTTTCTTAGATCATTTCTGACCTTTGGGATTGATTTCAAGATTTTTGGAGTTGATTTAGGTCAAAACCCCTAAAATACCCCTAATTAAATAATTTTGATAAATTATTAATCGCCCAAATCTTCTAAAATTCATAACTTGGCCTAGAAAAATTCAAATCCAGCAAAATCAAATCCTAATTACTCCTCTTAATACTTAATATTTGATTAAAATGTTAGAACGACCTCCAAATCAAGCATATTTCTATTAGTGACCTTTTTGATCCCTTTAACCTAACAACTTATAGGAGGATCTCGGATCTTCTTAAATTCATTAAGGCAACTTAAACTTTAAAGATCATTATCCTAAGTATTAAAATGAGTCCATAAATTAAATTAACTAAAGTGGACCCCAATTCATTAATACTTAAACTTTAACCAAATTTTCCCTTTTGGCTTTCAACAAATTTGAACTCGAAGCAACTTGAACTAACTACCTGACATATGAACTATCCAAGGCCACACGAGTATACTACACACACATAGATTTGCTAGGAAACCACTTCTAGCTATAGGATTAGGCCGGTGATTTTTCTTTTCTACTTTCTGTGTTGTGATGCTCTGTGTGTGGCATGAGTGTTGGTTGACTTTGTTTATTCTGATGTGTTGTGATTGATATGATGCTTATTTCATTATTATGCTTTCTATACTTTGCTTGTGATGTGATTTGTGCATTAGATTGCCCATGGGCTAAGGGCGCTTTGATACTAATGATGTCTTATACAGATGATCATGTTCGTGCAATGCTAATATAGGGGGCAATAATCATTAAGCTTTAAAACTAATGACATTTTCTACAGGTGCTCCATAAATTACTAAATCTTCCTCAAATTAAAATAGCATGGCCAAGTGTGATTGCCAATGTGTTTTATTTCTATATATAAACTACTTAGGTTGTGTTATATAAATTGCTTGCGATGTTTATCTTAGGATAACCTTACAGGTTCAATATGTGTCTAGATTTTATATTTTTAAATGTAATATAAATTTGTAATTTATATAGAGTGTTGAAAGTCTTT